CAGTCACAAACTGTACAGAAATATCGTGTTCCCTTCCCCCAAAACGCATTAAATCAAGGTAGCTCTCATTGGAAATAAATGCTAGAACTTAAATCTAAATGAACTGAGAAGAAAATAAGTTGTTATGAGCACCATTTTCACAAACGAATCAGGAAAATGATATATTGTAATTTATAATATAAGAAATATAGTAAAAGTAAAATTTGTACTAATGGCAACATGGTCATGGTGGTGGCAGTAGTATCAATATTATAGTAGTAGTACTGATATAAGTAGTAGAAGTAGCAGCATCAGTAATAGTAGTTTGTAGTGGTGGTGGTGGTGGTGGTGGTAGTGGTAGCAGTAGTAGTAGTAGTAGCAGCAGCAGCAATGATAGTAATAGTAGTAGTAGAAGTAGTAGAAGTGATCAATAGAGTTTTAGTAATAGTAGAAATAGCAACATCGGCAGCAGCCATACAAGAAGCAGTAGTTGAAGGCCCATGTTCCTATAGACCCCCCCCCCTCCCACGTCCCCCCTCCCATCCTGCCACTCATGAAGTAAGATTCTGGACAGGGTTTTCCGAAGGCCAATGTCTTCATTTTAACTAAGGAATTACATCAAGGACATCCTCTTCCTTATTTTAATCTGAGCTTTTCATCTCTGAAAGTCATCGACCTTCTTGAAGGTCAAGATCCTCCGGCCAAAACCAAGTAGACTTCTCAAATTACATGAACGAAGATCAGACCATTTGCCTATTGGTTAACTTGTTAGTGTCATGTAATATCATGTTCATGGTGAAGACTTCAGGCCTTATAGCATTCCCTTTGACTGCAATAATAACTGCTGAGAGCCAGAAGGATGTTAACTCGGTGTGACAAAATAATATGACGCCCTTTTAGCTTTCAGCAGCTGATATGATGTGCATGCAGTGAATACAAATCAGAGGATTTATACAACATGAAATCATGGTACTGTTGAACTGCGCTAGCACAGAAGCGAGGAGAGAAAAACCAATGGTTTTTGCTTGCAGCGTAAATGCAGCTGAAGAGATATTGGCAAAAATCATCCTTCATTTCAAAAGCTCTTTACAGATCATTAGTTGCCTGGTTTTGTACATCTTGATAAGATTTAAGAATGTAAGCAGATTGTGAATATATATATACTTCAATGATGCTACACATCTATGAAGTACTCCTATGGTCAGACTAATGACTAGCTCTGGTGCACCACATCTTTGTAAGTGGGCAATCCAAGCACTTCGTTTTGACATTTTTAACCTTAAAATGAAGTGCAAAAATAGTTGCTCCGAAGTGCCACTTTTATAAACGAGCTAAACTAACTTCCTTTAAAAGCCATTTTCTGGAGTGCAGGCTAGATTAGGTTTCAATTTTCATTAAATGTTTCACAAGATGACATTTTTAAAGCTTTCAAAATTTATGAAAATAACAAATATAATGAACAAGCTAAAGCAATATGCTTATATAAAAATCTGTTGTTGTTTTTTATTGTTTCATCATGGACTAGAATCTCATCAAGTTCACACCCTTAACCTATTACCAAAGATGATATGATATCATGTCATCTGGCCCTCTATAGATACCGGTAATCCAATCTCCATAATTTATAAATTCCATCATATTCCTCAATTTTCAATTAACATTATAATCACAGCTTTTCACAAGGGAAGAATATATATATATATACTTGCCCCAAGTGTGTTATATATCTGATTACTTTCTTCTTGCTGGTAGGCAGCCTCATTATCACTTCCCCATAACAATTATTTTTAGCTACTACTCAAATTACCGGCGGCGTTCTTTGATCACTGGAAATCTATTTTAAGTCAGCATAAGCATTTTAGATCTTCATCAGCATTTCTAAAGCAATAATAAAATTCTATCAATTTTGGTTATGGATAGTCTCATTAAAATACTGATGATAACAATAAAATGATGAAGATGATGATGATGTTGAGACATAAGATGTTGCTGGGTATGATGCTAATGATGATGATTCGTATGAATAACAAATGATGATGATTCGTATGAATAACAAATCATGTTTGAACATTTACACATCTTTCTTTGACAACAATCAAGTTTGAACAGGTTGGTTATTTTTGTAGCTTTGGGGATGAATTTTAGCCCCATCCTTCCCTTATAGCTTAGATTTCAACATTCTGAAGATGACTTTTATTTGGTTCATCTTAGATTATTTGTAACGCATTTCCGCCTGAGATGAGTCCATCATCACTCATAATCGAGAGCTATAGGACAATGTAAGCTGACACTCACACTCTCTGAGGAGAAGGGATAAAGGCCAATTCTAAGAGCAACAAAATCAACATCTTCCTTACATCTCTTCATCTTCAAGCTCATCTATTGATGTTTTTCAAAATTAAAATGTTTAGAAACAGAGTTATCTAAGCATCTGTTTTAAATGTGGAATTACATGATTCTGTCTACACTACAATATTGAGCTATAGAGCCAGAAGGGTGTTATATAACTCTGTGTAAAGTGAATGATTTAATGCCCTTCTGGCTCTCAACAGAAACATTGTAGTATACATCATTGCCCCCCCCCCCCCCGTATTATATTGATTGCATCTTTGCATGGTCGAATGTAGATTGATGTTATTTATGTATAAAATTGTTTTATCGATCATAACAAAACATTTAATGACATGCTTTCTGTGAACATAGTTAAAAGAGTAATACATAAACTGTCAACAACATTGTATAGAATTACAAATGTTGTTTCTTTTTTTGTCTAAGTGTTACATGAAACATTAAAAGTAAATTTTTCTTTAATAATAAAAAATAAAGTTAAAAAAAGAGTCCCAGGTCATTCAACTATTTTTTTTTTAAATCCAACTCAGACCAGGTTTTACAAAGTACAGTTAAAATAAACAGTGATAGCCAAGACATGACTTAAACGAAACAAACAACAACATTCCCCAAACACTCCCAAAACAAATTAATGAAACTGAGACCATTTAGGTTGGTGATGGCTGCATCCCTCCCTTGGTAGATCAATATTATGGGGATTTTTTGTTTTTTGTTTTTGAGGTTTTAATAGCAAATATTTGTTAACACACTCCTCCTCGTCATCATCAGAGAGAAAGAGAGAAAGAGAGAGAGAGAGAGAGAGAGAGAGAGAAAGAAAGAGAATAAAAAGAAAGAATGTGAAAAAATGAAGAGAATAGGAGCTAGGAGACAGGCATGAACACAAAGAAAGAAAGAGAAAAAAAATTAAGGGAGAATAAAATGGAAAGAAATACATGTTGACAAATCAGTCACATTTGTAATTGATTTTCACAAAGAACTGACAAGAAACATGAGGAGAAGAAAGTACAAGAAGGTGCTCACTTTGATGAAGTATTGAGATGATTTGATTGTGAAGAGGAATGGAACCTTACATGAATCAATGGAGATAGCTTGATAGATCAATAACCATTCATCATAACACGTCATTGATATACGATGCCATCTGCAGAAAGCAACTGCCTTACTATACACAAACCTGACCTTCAGTCACACTTTCAATCACACTTTTTGGTTATTTGCCAGTTTGTGAGAATGACGATAAGAGTGAAATGCATTCAAAGGTATTGAATTTGTATTTAAAGATAGATTTTTATCCTGATTTGCAGGTCATACAATGTAGCAAGTCGTATTCAAAGTAGTGATATTCGTTTTAGCAGTTGTGGTAATTGTCATCTATTCTTGTATTGTAGAAGTGGTAGTAGGTGTAGTATTTAATGCTGGAAGTATAATTAGTAATTAAGTGGATTAAGTTATAATTGAAGTAAAAATTGTAGTAATAATAAAAGTGGCAATAAAAGTAGCAGAAGCAGAGCAAATAGTAGTATAGTACAGAAGTGGTAGTAGGTAGTGGTAGTAGGTTGTAGTAGTAGTAGTAGAGGTAGGTAGAAGTAGTAATAGTAGAAATAGTAGTAGTAGTAGTTTAGTAGTAGTAGTAGTAGTAGTAGAAGTAGTAGTAGTAGTAGTAGCAGGAGTATTAGAGTAGTAGTAGTAGTAGTAGTAGTAGTAGTAGTAGTAGTAGTAGTAGTAGAAGTAGTAGTGGTGGTGGTGGTAGTACTAGTAGTAAAAGAAATTGTAGCAGCAGCAGCAGTAGTAGCATTGGTAGTAGTAGTTGTAAAGTACTAACAGCCACAGCGGAGGAAATTATTTCTGTCATATCATCATTATTGTTACAGGAATAAAACAAAACTGAAATTATTTAAGTTATGGTCAAATAAATAATGAGCAGTTGTAGCGGCAGAAGTAGTAATAGTTGTACAGGTAGTAGTATAGTATTAGTAGTAGCAGTAGTTGTAGTAGTAGAAGTAGAAGTAGTAGAAGTAGAAGTAGTAGACGTAGAAGTAGTAGTATCAGTAGTAGAAGTAGAAGTAGTAGTAGTAGTAGTAGTAGTAGTAGTAGTAGTAGTAGTAGTAGTAGTAGTAGTAGTAGTAGTAGTAGTAGTAATAGTAGTAGAAGTAGCAGGAAAAGAAATAGTTGCTGTTATTGTGATCACCGTTGTCATTTCAGCAGTAACAGTGGTTACAGTCATTATCACAGATAAAGTTGTAGTCAAGTAGTAATAGTAGGAGTATTCATAGAGTCAGTTGTAAAATAATTAATATAGTCATAGTAGAAGTTAAATGGTAATAGTAGACATTAACAGACATTTATAGAGTAACAACATTTTTACATCAGTGGTAAGTGTTTAAACTGAGTGAAAAATAAAAGCCCCTATTCCCTTTTTATTTCTTTTTATTTCTTTTAAATGACTTTGTTTCAAATTTTCAGATATGATTTTGCAACATTATTTATGCACAACTTCAGATGCAAGCTTTTCATAAAATGTTTTTTCAAAATGTGCCTATAAATTTCTAGCATGCACAAACCATTACATTTCTCTGTTACAAAAAAGCTAATTTCTGTTGGCTTTACCTGATGCAAAAGAACCACAAATGATTGAATTGTGCTTTTTTCACAGAAGCCACAAAACATGAAAGACGTTTCGTCTGTGTAAGGTCAGTTTTCATTGATTTCATAAAAGCATTAAATCTTGAGTTTGGGACGGGAGACGATAAGTACTTTGTTTTTGCTGTGGAATATTCATGGTATCTTACAAGTGCTTTGGTCTGATTATACAATGGGACTCCCCCAAATACCAGCCGAGACAAATTCGCACTTCACATATGAAAGGTAAAAGTTGCCCCAAATTCCAGTTATGAGGAATCCTTGACATATCTCTACAAACCACACTGAGGAGTAGGAATTGTATCTTGATTCAAGTATATCACCCTGATGTAAACAACAATAGAAAAATAATAATAATATCAACAGCATTCACCATGAAAATAGCTAAAAGACATTTATGAAGAAAAAACAAGGATTATGGCTGATTTTCCTTCTCAGAACACAGATAAATGAAACTACACCAGTACATTTTCTAACATTTTACATACTTCTTATTATTTTATTAAATAATTTAGCATAATCCATCATAAATCTGTACTACTACGTATTATTACCATTACCATAACTGTCTCCCAACTTATGTCTCAAATATCAATGTAGCATCTTACATTATTAAAGAAAATCCCAGAATGAAGTGAATAATAATAAATTAGTGCAGGCTAATGAATCAGGGCTTGTATTTAGAGCAAACTAAAGACTGACCTTTGGTAGTCATTCATCAATATTACTTCTCAAATTAGCCATCAACACTAAAATGTCACAAGTCAAGTATGACGCAGTTGTGGTAAAATCATAATTCAATGTTCCTCAAAAAAATTTAACGCAGCAACAAGCAAAATTTATTGTTGAATATATTTCAGAAATCTTACAAAGAGAAATGAGTGAAAAGATGCAAATAACCATGGCAACTATTCATTGATTAACCCCCATTGTTCAGCAAAGATGAGATATTAAAAAAGCAGTCCGGGTTCATATGTAGAACTCTATTGCCATAGTATCTCTTGCACAGGGTTGACGCTCTCAAAATGATGGTCCAAATTATTTTTCTTTTCATTGCTGCTTTAATTTGTAACAGTAATATGTCATGAACACTTCGTTCAAAATATGAATAAGATTTGATTGAAGGGGGAAAAAACCTTGTGTCTATGGTTAATGACAGGTTTAAAATTGACAATACACAATTATTTTTGTTTTGACATTTCATTACCAAAAGGGAAACTTCAAAGGTTGTTTGTAAATCTTGTTTCCTCACTATCATGTCTTGGTAAGTACCTGACATACACCTGAACCGACAATTTCATTCATCAGGATTCTTCTTAGAAAAAGAGAAAGAGAGACTACAAAACAAAATTTGGATTTGGATTTTGATTGTAATTCAATTTCTTGTCAATATTTTTTCTTACAAATATTGCTCTCAAGGATAAAATTTGGGAATTAGTTTTTCTTCAACAGTATTTTTTTTCTTAAAAAAAAAAGCCAGAAGCTGTCTACCGTGTACCAGAAAGAAAATGATATTTTCCCATTCAAGTATTATCTAGATATGGAGCAGTCCTTACTGACATGAATGGCATACTTTGATACTGACTATAAACCTTTATTGGACACATGCATATACCAAAATAGGATTTAAACTACTATCTTAAATGGGAGTGGGTTGGATCATACAAATTTGAAAGACGTATAGCACCCGCCTTTGCATGAATGCTTTGTCTCGATAAGGTTAATCTTCACTATATACAGAATATCAATTGGATGAAATAAGCATCCTTAACAAATGCAAAAAAGAGCCCCCCCTATATTGCCCTTAATTACAGCTTAAATGACCGCACATTCAAGAAAACATTTCATCTCGTCTCTATTCCATTTGAACTCAAGTTGAGTGAAGATGACATATATGCATTTTTAAAAGCATTTCATTAGTGCAATGTTGGTTTTCTAAATGTCACAATTAAATCTACTTAGCAAAAAAGCGAGCAGCCTTGTGGGATGAAAGCGGCGACAAAATAAACAGTTCTAATTCAAGTAACTGAGGTTGATTCATGGTATGCGCTCTCATTTTTCACATTGCAAAAAGTCAAAGTGCAAAACTAGAAACAACAGCGAACAAACAGTTGTGGTATCAGTGGAAATTAGATTGATTTATGGCATATAACTTTTGTGAATCTTAAACCACTTGTCAAATACTTGCAAACATTTCATGAGTGAATAGTCTCTTGTTTCACAGTATCCATGATATGCAGAAACAATACATGGATCTATCTTAAAGGTGTGTGGGGGAATGCTTCAGCTCTCATTATTGGTACTTAAAAATTGATAGCTCTCGTCAAGAGAAAGGGGACCATGTACTGCCCCAAGCAATTTAGTCCACTCGATCCTTTCATGATTCTATCAATCATTGGGATTCTTGTGTCAATATGATTCTTCAACTAATCATCCATCTGTACCATTTACCCACTCCCACAGGTTCGTAGCTGACTCATTAGCGTTCTAGTATATTTTACAAGTTTTGCTGATGAATTAATTATACACAATTCCTTGGCTCTACACATTATACCCAGTTAACATCATCTTCTTAGAGCTCTATTTGCAAGAATAAAATTATAATAAATTTGATATTTTTATAGCACACATATCCAAAACACACAAGGTGCTCGAGGTGCTCCAATATAATGCCGGCTAGGCTAGGCTAGGCTACTGCATCGGTGCTCACAACATACAAGGAATTCCTTCCTACTGCATAGTACCCATTTCACACCTAAGTGGAGATCGAGAGGCAAATGAAGATTAAATTCTTGCCAAAGGACATTAGTATATATATTTTAGACAGATAGATGTTTTAAGGGTTATCAGAAAAAGGTTATATGAAGTGGTGTGTAGAGAAGAATAGAATTAAATGATGCAATCTTTGTCATATTAGAATATTATTCTTTAACATAAATAATCAACTAAACCGAAACTCACATAACCGTGCATTATAAAAAAGTGACATGTTTTTTACGATTCAACTGAGAGAAGTATATTAGTTATATGTTAGATAAATTTTCAAATGAATAGGCAAATGTGTTCTTCTACATTACCAATTGAGTTTGCTAAACTTAAGTGGGTTCAATGAAATATCAGTAATAGGCCCAACGTGGCTTAAACGTGTGATGTCAAGGATTAATAATTGATAATGTTTGAGGAACTAGGCTATTAATATTTCATTCATATTGAAGAAAATGTCAAACATGCATGATTTATGAATTGTTTGCCACTCCTTGGTCATGAACAGCTGCAGCTGCCGTGAACACTGGCTACAAATATATTTCTACAGGTAAAATATATCACATTTTAAGTTACATAGGGTCAGTCAATGTATTGGGTTTGATTATCTTCAAAATCTGTCACATGTGTCCCAAAACCTAACAATATTTTTTTACAATATATTCTGATAGATTGAATTTGTAAAGTGAATGTAATAAAATTGCACACCAAACACCATTACCACAGTTGATCAGAGGTATGAATACATTGAGAGCAAAGGCAAAATTAATGAATACATTTCAAATTCTTTTGTCACACCAAACATAACCATCACCTAAACGTTATCTCCAATACTTGAAAACAACCACTGTACAGTTCATAGGCATGCATTTCTCGGCAATAGTTTGATTTTTCTCGAGGTGAAGATATTTTGAGATGACTCTCCCATGCAAGCAGAGCTTTGTTCGATCACACTGGATCTTCAGGAGGTAAGCGCTTTGGTAGATGTGTAATAGCTATCTTCGGACTGATACTAAGGTAACCATTGGTATGGATACGCCCCATACCATCCGTACTACTGTTACACGACTTTATGGAGCTGCGGGATCGACGAAGGTACATGCTAGACGTGCGCATGCTGCTCTGGCGGCTGTTAAGCTTTTTCCGTCGAAAAATGCTCCGGCAGAGACGGGGGAGGTTCTGGCGAAAGTTCTCCCCGAGCATGGTGTAGACGACGGGATTGATGATACTATGACTGTACATGAGAAACCAGCTGATGATATAAGCAAGTAGGAGAGAATCTGTGAACTGTGACGGATCCAATTGACTCTGGATGAACTGGACGATAAAGAATGGTAGGAAACAGGATACAAAGACAAAGACGATGCAGATGACCAAGACGGCGACTTTGCGACTAGCGCGTCGTGAAGTGTTACGGATGTCCTGCAGGGGACTATGCCGTAAGCTCCAGATGATGAGAAAGTAGCAAATAAAGATTACAGTCAGAGGTGCGCAAAAGTCAAAAAAGAGTGTGTAGATTATCCACCAGTTAAAATTGTTGACATCCTCATCTTGCTTCGTTGCAAGCGCCAAGCACAGGTGCACCTTTTGGCCGTTCCCAATATATGTGATCTGATCGGTGTAGATCCAAACGGGTAAAGACACCAAGAACGAACAGATCCAGACCCCCACACTGACCACACGACCGTTGAAAATTGTCCGATAGTGCATCGACCTGATAGGGTGGCAAATGGCCAAGTAGCGATCGAAGCCCATGACGACAAGAAAAAAGACGACGGTGAACTGCGTCATGGTATCATACGGAATAAGAATTTTGCACATGACGCGACCGAATATCCACTCACTCCGCCACATCTGATGGCCAAGGAAAGGAAACGTAAACATGAAGAAGAAATCTGCCAAGGCCAGGTTAAAGATGAAAGTATTGGCCAGAGTTTTCATGTTGGAGTACGTCAGAAGAAGTAAAATGATGAATCCATTACACAGCAGTCCAACGGTGCAAAAAACAGCTACCAGGCCTGGCAGAATCTTCGTCAAGATGCTGACAAGCGGAGACACTGTTACAAGTGTCCCGTTGGCAAACTGCAGGATTGCAGGATCTGCATACCCAACAGTCGTCATTGTTAACTATTCCTCTTTGCTATTTTCCTTGATCAAAATGTTAGCAAATAAAGTTGCTTAAATGAGATCCAAACCAAAATATAAGCTTCTTTTTTCATCAATGTTACATTCTGTTTTTGTAATCACACATACAAATATCAGAACTGCTTGATATTGGTACAACAACGATCTGTCACATACTAGACGATGAGGCACAGTAAGCCAAACTTTGCAGGTTTCCTTCTACTTATATCAGTAGTAATATGTTCATCTCCCGGTAACTTGTTTGAATTCTTCAAATCCTTTTCACCACACATGGGTATAAACACGTTAAAATTCATAAATTCCTCCAGGCATCGTTCGCAAACAAATATGTAGACTCATTGGCACACACGTAGTGCAAACTATTTCATCCCTTCCTTCCAGGGGTGATCAGACAAACGGGTTTACATGACAGCAACGATATTGACTTTTCTCTCAGTTCTTTATCTCCCATTCCATATTCACTCACTTTTGCTTCTTTAAAGATCGGAGTGTTACCCGGGAATGATTTGTGATGCTGTCAACTTTCCTCTATTTATCTTTTGGTAGGGTGATAAATCCCAGTGCGCTAATCTAACAAGGTCTTTCCAGGTGATTGTCTAGAGCTGTACAAGGATAGCATGGCATTGTGAAGAGACCTGTACTAAATGATATTAATGAATCATGAAGCACCTACGTCAATGCTTCCCACGGTGGACTAAGAAGCACAGTACAATTGCAGATATCCTTTATTTCAAGAACGCTTGATGAATATTTGATAAGTCAATCTGCAAGGCTGCATTGATATCTATCCTTGCTTTGATAAATGAAGAAATCGTTCAAATTTAACATCACTCATGTAATATCCGAGAAAAAAATGTATTTATTCACACGCCGAGCATGGTGTTCTATTTGCCAGGGTGATAAAACCTCTCTGGTATTCTTGTTGTTAGACGCGGAAGCTCCAACCCTTCTCCCGAACCCAGCGCACTCGTAGTGTCCTTCAGAAACGGCACTTGGGAGTATCTTGAACCCTACCAATTCAACATGACCCCGAAGACGTGATTTCAAATATTGTCGTTGATGGCTTCTCACCTGGGAGTACTGGGCGGAAATGAGGGAGGGATAATATTCCAGTGAAAATCACCCCCAAAATGAATTCAATTTGAGATCTAAATTCTCAGATAAATTGAGCTGTAATAAAAGTTTTAAATCGATGCATCCGTTCCCTTTCTGATATGGTCACATTCCCAGTCATATATTCAATCTTCTCTCAGTGATTGATATGTATCAATACCACCAGCAGGTAATGTTGGGCAGTCACGGAATGAGTTCAAAACAAATGGATTTCTGTCATGAATGCTACCATTCCATATCACAGGTGTGATAAGGAAAAAATCTGCACAGATACTTGAGATCTTGTTCTAAAATGCTATAATACTGTCGATCTGTTCCAGTAGAAATCAGGTGACTCTCCACACAAGGATTTCATACAAACTCACTCCTTTTTCTGACAAAAAATCCAAGGTAATAATACCATGTAATGTTTATAGATGATGAGAAATGTTTCCCCTCTTTTTAATTCCACAATAAGTTCATGAGGTGGGAAGGAGATTTAGTTGAAACAGCTGCATTTCATCCTTCAAAGTTCAAAATGATCCATGGCACGATGAAGATAGAAAAAGATTTCTTCTGCAATGCATAAGTCCAAGTATTTCTTTCCTATAAAACTGCTCGAGAGAGAGAGAGAGGGAGAGTCAGACAAGGAACTAGCAGAGGGTAATTGATCACAGTAGTGTGGTAGCAGTGCATGATGAAGGTAAAGTAACATTCGTGGGAGTATAGTGTGATACTAGCTTGGCCACCACTGTATGGCTGAGAGTGAGTTGGACTAGTCCATTCCATCCCAGGGGGTGATGAAATATCAGTTTAAGCTCCCAGACAATTCAGGCCTACTTTCAACATCAAATTCAGTCTTTGGTTGTTTTTCTTCAAAATTACTACCGTTTTCTTGAAAATTTCAGAAATACTTCAACTACAGAAATACTTCAACTACAGGAATACAAATCTGTATATCTCATCTCTGCATTTTACCCTAGTCAATAAGTGGAATTGGTCTATGAAACTAATTTTCTTGCATATGATTGGAGTGAGGTTCTGACCAATAGCAGCCATGCATGATATATGAAGTCATATGGTAATAACTTATAAAGCAATATGAGATGTATGAATATTCATATGAAAATAACTTATAAAGAAATATGAGATGTTTGAATATTCATTTGATAATAACCTATAAAGCAATATGAGATGAGTACAGCATGTCAAACCAAAAAATAACCTTCAATCCTCTCAAAATAGCCAATAGATTTAGGGGGAATAATTTCCTAATGCCTTTTAAATAAATTACTTCAGTCTTCAAAACAATTAATATGCAATATGCTATTTGCGGTATACAATTATCTCATTATTATTATTATATTTACAAAATTCAAGGCTGTTCCTCCATACATTTTCGCTCACTGTACTTTAATAATATCTGAACTCATAAAAGCTCACTTTATATAACTGTAATTAATTTGTTTTTGATGGAACGCACTGCTACCATACAAACGTGATTAGCCTAATCGGCTAATAGATAGCAAGGTGACAAAAAGAATGCATCCTTGTTTAAAATTGGATTACCCCTATTGGATTTTCTTTCATAAAGCAGCATGTAATGCACAGAGATAGATAAATATTTACTTTAACATTCTTTCATAAATCCTGCTTGTATCATGTATTTGTGATAATTCACTTGGATAGCACATGCCAACATTATATGTGAAGGAAATACAATGTCCTCAGATTATTCATGCAGCATGAAATACAGAAATATATTTTCACAATTTTTCAGAAAGGTAGGAGCACCTTTCATTTCAATATCAAGCTACAAATTAAAGCGATGTAGTTAATATCTATCTTTTTACAAATAACACATGCCTAATCAATTCACTTCAATAAAAATCACTGTGCTGGGAGGCAGAGGGGCATTTAATACAGAATACACTTAATTTCCTTCTAGCTTTTAACAGACAAGTTGATCTAAGACATAATAATGCGTAGGATAATCTAGATTTAGCTACACAACAGCCAATTACTTTATACAACACACAATCAAAGAAAAGAAAAAATGCATACAATCTTTATGAAGTTAAAGAGAACGAGTAAGCGATGCATTGGCCTTAAGTTACCATGGCAACCACAAATGAAGCAGTTGCCATTGTGAAGTGTCGATCGAACCAACCTTCCATATATCCAAAGTGGGCAAACCTTTTATTGTTCAGGTTCTATTTGTTAAAGGCGAACTGCATCTAGATGAATCTTTTCATCTATTCGATAGATCCTCCCTTCTCCCCCCACGCCCTCCCCCCCCCCCCCCTCTCTCTCTCTCTCTCTCTCTCTCTCTCTCTCTCTCTCCTGATCCTTTTCTGTCTTTTTCTTTATCCATATGTCTGTCTCGTCTCTTGATCTCTTCCTGTCTCTTTCATTTCCAATCTATTACTTATCTAATATACATCTCCCCTCTCTCGCTGTCTATCTCTCTCTCTCTCTCTCTCTCTCTCTCTCTGTCTCTGTCTCTCTCTCCTCTATCATTCTGACATATGAGAGATAAACATTTTGAAGTATATTTATCCTGAGAGCCAGATTCTTGATACATTTGTACAATACAGTGTATAAACTATTCATATCCCAAATATAAATGTCTATGCAAATATTGCCGTTTGTATAAGTCAGGATATATAAAGTGGCTTAAATGTTGTAATATTATTTCCTTTTCGTGTCCATTGTGACTTAAGCTTATCAAATTACAGGCAATTTATGATTTAACTTCTCCTTGCAAAGAAATTAAGAAAATTCAAAACCTTCTACTGGACATGGAACTGTCTTTAACTTATCATACTCCAAAAATCTGAGAGGAAACTTCTGAGGCATGAATTGTGAAACTTGTCCAGCTTTGAGAGTTGTTCAAACAAATTTTCATGAGATGACATCGCTGTTTAGTGTACTCATATCTTGGATAATCTCTTTTTGAATGGTTTAATTTTGAGCTGTGTTTGTAGTGGCTCTAGGTATTGATACACACTGACAGGGTTGTAATCATATTGTATTATGAAGAATGGAATAGCATGAAAGACATAATTAAGTTTTAATTCTCCACATCACTTTCTGACGTTGATTGATTGACTGTTGGATATTAAAAAAACTGAATTAGGTGACTTCAATGTTTTTATTTTATCCTCACGTCAATGTTCCTATTTCCTAGTTGATATTGGAAAATGATGTCCAATGTCACGGTTTCCATCATCTTACAACTTTATATATAAGCTTTCTGCCCACATACATAAAATGTATATAAAACAGATCTATCAAATTCAAACAGTTTTACAGAATCAAAATATAATGATTTAACCTCCGTCTATTATTCTTTTGATTGATGTTGAATCATTGTAAACTCTTCACCTTTCTTTTAAGTTTCTTGCAGGAATCTCTTTCCCTCGTCCCTCATCTTCCTTTTCCTTCTTTATATGTTACAATAATCAATTCCAAACTTTTCAAATTCTCACCCCCCCCCCTCTCTCTCTCTCTCTCTCTCTCTTTCTCTCAGACTTCTCCTGTTCTTGAATGATACCTTTTTTATTCTTCCCCCCCCCCTCTCTATTTATCCCTCCCTCTATCAGTAACACACAATCTCTTGTCTTTCCACCTCTCTGTTTCCCTCTCAATTATTTAGCTGTTTTCTTACTTGTCTTTCCATCCTTATTAATCCCTCCCTCTGACACTTGTTCTTTCCTTCCTTTTCTCTTTTTCTCAATCTCTCTTGACTACTTCCTGTAATTCACTCACTCTACCTCTTCCTCTGCTGTAAGTCTGGTAGAGCATGTAATGCTTTCCTGTCCATGGCGTGTTAAGTTCACACCCTGCATACCTCTCTCTCCTTCATCATGCTTCCTGATTGCCAATGTTACCTACCAATTGTCACACTCAACACGTACAACATCAACCGTAAACAAAACAAAACAATGACGTGGGAGACACACCCACACCATGCTATCAGTGTAGCTGAAAAGAAATAACAAGTTAAGGGCCAACGACTCCTGCCTGATCGACAAGAAACTGAAAAGGTCAGAGAAAGAAATAAAGCAGTCTGACTCCATTGATGAGCACGTTATGCAAGAATGATGAAGTAGACGTAAACAACTCCATTCTCACTAAATGAGACAATGCATACTAGTAATGTGCAAAGCCTCCAAGGGTAAAATGTCACTGTACTGTTCGGAAGTCTGACTGAATTACAGTGCCAATCAGTCCAAATAAATCTATCCAAGAAATAAAGCAATTATATGAAGAAATTGGTGGTAAGATTGAATCCAAGAAATGAAGAGAAATCTAAGATAGCTCTCAGATCATAATGTTTCCTGACATGAAGCATTACAAGTTAAACTAATACAGAGATATTGGTTTGAATTTCTAAATTTACCTTCACACTGCATGTAACTCTTTCACATTTAGGAGTATACAGAGGTGATAATTATATTTTAGTGCATGAGTTCCTTCAAAGAATGCACAAGAGGTTAATGGTTCAAATTTGGGGGGTAAATGTGGACTAGAGTGTGCCATCCCTTAGTGTTAAAATAACTTAGAAACTGATTTTCTCATCAGATTTAATTTGCACTTTATAATTTAAATAATTAAAAATAATATATTTTTTTTAATTACAAAAATTTCATTTAAAGGTAATACAAAGTTTTGGTAAATTTAGAAAATTGGCTGGATAGTGATTCTTTACAATTTGTGTATATTTGGATGCCCCTGTGGATGTATTATAAGCACCAGAAAATTTAGCACCTAAAACACTTCTGCTTTCGAGAAAATTTGAAGTAAAAAATTTACCGGTGCTCCCGGTAAATTTTGATGAATTTCAAATAGCGCCTACGGCCAAACAATGGTAGCTGCGACCATGAAAATCTCAGAATATGTAGTTGTGGTATATGATTTCCAAATGGGAATAGCCAATCGGTCGATTCTAGTCAAGAAACATTATTTTATAGCTAAATTGATATCTTGACCTTGAGAGGGAGCTATACGACATGAACAGCTTATTATTTACAATTTCATCACTTTAGACTCGATTTCAACAGCGACAACGGTCACTGAATATTGTAGGATCACATATGCTTCCAATATGTTAATTTGAACCAAATTCATGACCCCATACCAAAACTTTGTATTACCTTTAATACACCTCTCCGGTAACAATGACCATTCTTTGCCAGGCCCCATAGTATAGCTGCATGTCATTACATAAGTGGGTACTTAATTACTTCATTAATTAAATTAATCAAGTAATGTCATGTGTGTAGATTACATCTTTATCAATATACAGTAATTTGGTTCTATTATTATCCATTTAACATCTGGAGAAAAAAAATAGAAATGCTCATCCAGAAATACATTTCACAAAGTATTCAAAATGTATTCATGTAGTTAGTCCATTACAATACAGCTAGTAATCTTTGCACATTTTCAATACATTCCGAATAACTTCATCATCTAATTTGATCGCTCAGTCAAAGAACACCTTAACCATAGTGTATTTTTCTTCCAAATCTAACAAAACTTCTTTCTTTCTTTCCCCTATATACAAAGAGAGTTGAAGCCAGACTTCTTGTAAATGTAACACCTGTACACCGGTAAATCAAAATGGACATGTAATTCTGTAAAGCAATTGATTTCTAGATTATATCTTTGTATTCTGACTACCTGTAATTGAAAACAGCACTTCATGTAATGTGGCTGTTGTATGTTGCCCATGGCTACGCCTTACTAATATCACAATAATCAATGAAATAAGTGAATCCAAGAAAAATAGGTCTTGTTTACTTTTCTAAAAGCATGGGAATAATCATCTTGCCTACGGTAATGAAATCGTGTCGCTTTCACTCCCCCGGCCTCCTCCTTTTCTCAGCTCTCTTGATGTGATCATCCACTACTAAAACAGTTTGTATTTCCTTGTACCGTGACTAACACGATTAGGTTCTCACATGCATCTACGCTAACACCAAAATCCCAACGTACCTCACACATTTTGAAATTCAAGCAGTCTCTAATCTGACATAACTTGTTTTTCAATGTTTTGGTTCGGAAGGGCCACGGGTGGATACATTTCAGTGTCTCGGCATGGCAACGACACCCATTTCACAAAAACCGACCTGCCCCCCCATTTCCTCTTGATCAACTTCATTTTCTGAAATGCTATTAGTATAGCCCACCTGTATATCAATAATGCTGGATGAAATTCAGGAAAAAAAGGTGCAAAATCCTTTAATAAGGTGTGAGCGACTGTAGGTGCGTGTACAGCCCCTAAAGCATGAATAAGAAACAGACATAAGATTGGCAATACTAAAGCCTTGATCATCAATACGTACCCAGTCTATGTAAATGATGAGATTGATGGGTTGTAGCAAGGAAGTAGCGGGGGGTAGCCTGCCCGTTTTGATAATAATCTCTGATCAACTAATCCCTAGGCTACAAGTTTGTCGTATTAAATCTTTGAATTGGGTGACAAAATGGCAAAGTTATTCTCCATAAATTTGTCTTCCGTAAGTTATACAGCTGGCCTAAAAAGAAAGTGACTCAATATTCGTTAGCCTAGCTCTCTAGGTAATTCCTAACAAATTGAAATTATTCCGATCCTTTAGGGGTGGGAATAATTTCTCTTCATGAATTGTAAAGTAAGAGCAACCTAAGAACCTCCATGATTGTAGAGCCAATTCCCACTGCTAGCCAGCCTACTGCATACATGGTCTTGATTATAACAGGAGGGGGGAATGGGTCAGAACAGTCTAAAAAGTTTCTGACAATTAGGCAAGACAGAACCGAAAACAGGATTTCTGTCGCTACAATATGCTCTGATAAGCCCCCAAAGAGGGTGATCACATCTCTTAATGGGCCTATGGGTCACAAATCTAAGTGGGCCACAATAATACACAAATGGGCACACATTTTTCTTTCATGGCATAAGGTACGCACATAGTCTTTCAAAAGGGAGGGGAACGATGGGGCATTATATAGTGCCCTCCTAAATCTGCCAATGGGGTGTACCCACATTATAGTATAACCAAGATAAAGTTTTGTATCTCATTGACCTTGGTTTGAATACGAACAATCTTTCTTAGAAACTGAAATGTTTTATGGAACTGGACTGGATTTAATACAGTTACCTGCTCCAGATATTGTACAAATTTCATTAACAAACTTCATTAACAATGAAACTCTTTGTTTTATCTATGGTGTACTGTTTCTATGATTATATAGATCACAAAAAAAGATAATATGTGAGTAGCAATGTTCTATCCCAACAGATACATTTGCAAGCTTTTATATCATTGAGTTAAATTCCCATAGGATAAGCCTACAACAAACAAATCATGATCCTGCCGCTAGCATTCATGCACTGTTGTTTTGTTGGTAGTAGTTTTATGCCGTCCATTTAGTACTGAATATATCGTCGCTGTTTTCACGAAGTGACGGTAGTGAAAAAAATTGCATTCACTTTGCGTTACGATTGTCCTCGCTACCGTCACTTCGTGAAAACAAGGACGATATAAACCATATCTTTAGTTATATAAGAAAAACTGGGAACTTTTTTTGTAATTATTATCTTTCATGGCATAAGGTACGCACATAGTCTTTCAAAAGGGAGGAGAATGTAATTTGTAATTATCTAATTAATTAACCAGTATCGCAATTTATTAGGAGTCTCTAGATGGTTTACAACTTTGTATTTCTGCTTTTTGAATACGTTTATAAATCTGGTAAGCCTGGTTTTGATTGCATAGTAATCTAGCTTTGCTTGAGCTGAAACAGGCTCCTCGGCTACTTGGCGTACTTGCGGTGTGATCTTTTAATTTTGTAGCGCACGGTGCCTAGACCACTCAAAAACACTAAATTGAGACACATCGTAACCGAAATTCCAATCCATTCAAGTATTTGTAAGCAAATATTAAAGTGAGCTTCTTTGTTAGTACTAAAATAGAACAAGTTAGAATGTGAATCTTTTTTTTGCATGCATTCATGCACTGTTGTTGTTGTTTGGTATTATCGGCGTTTCATTCTTTTTCTTTCTTGTTTATACAGAGGAGTTAGTGCACAAAAAAAGCAGTTAGTGCACAATATATACTACAGGAAGAATCTTTCAAAATGCCAATCTCACAAAAATAAATCCTATTTGGCATTAATCATCCTACCCCAGTCTAATTCAGCTCATAGCGACCACTCCCATTCATCCTGTCAAAAGAAGAGCAATAAAGAGCAATTTTTGATAAATATATGGCCTTCGAAGGCCTACGTAATGCAACAAAACAACATTGGAAAAAAAGCCTTTCATTTGCAACCTTTTCTGCTTGTTATGATTTCAAATGAGAGATAATATAGTATTCAAAGCTGGTATTTTATCATTACTGATCTTCAACAAATCACTGCCCAAAAATGAATGACGTCAAAGCAGCTGCATCAAGGAGGATATGGAAGGAGAATGGTAGACAGAGAATGGTAGGCGGAAAACAGATTATTTATGCATTCAAACAATGTAGGAGTTATTTTCTCTCAAAGCAATATGCTGTCTTCCGTATTGAATAGTCAGTCATGTGGCTCTATAAATATACCTTTACCTCCATTGAAATGCTGTTTACAGGAAATAAAATATCACTTGATTCAGATAGTTGTACCTTAAATCTTAAAAATAGAACATATTATATCCTGCATCCAAAATGTATTTTTGATATAAAAGAAATTGTCTTAACTGATCTCTGAGAAGTGACCAACTTATAACTGGCCCAAACATTGTCAAGCGGTGTGTGCAGCGCTTTGTAACCGCAAGGAAAAGGCGCTTTATCAAATATCTTTTGATTGATTGAACGTTACAAAATTACAAATAATTAATGAAAGTGACAATCATTATCTGAAGGAAGTAATTAATAATAACAAACACCTTTTGATCTGCTAGTACTAGGATGGCTCAAACAAAATTTGCTAAACACATTAGACACAAATGTTTAAGAGTGACGTATGAAAATATTTCAAATTTGGAAAGGAGAAGACAATGGACAAGAAAGAGAGAAGTGTGTCACAGGTAGATGAGGTCAGAGTGTGAGACGGCCATCTGTAGCCTTGGAAAATAGGGGGTTTTCTTTCTGAATTTATTCATGAATACATTGACAAATCATGAACACATACAGAAGAAACGGTTGGGTTCAATGACAATCACTGATATATGAGATACTCTAACATCTCCCAACAGTCATATAGTATTCATGCCGGAATCTGTGCTCCCTATAACATGAACTTGAACGTTCCAAAGTTTATATTTTATGAGTTTACTAGGAATGCCAAGACAGTCGTTGATCCCTGGTGACCGTGAAGGCTGCATACCCGCAAGTCTTAACTGAACTGATACAACTACTCTAAGTATCAGAGTATCATCTCCATGCAGTGACGATGTAGGAGAAAATGACTTCATCAGAAAATAAAATATTCAAGAGGCCTGCTTGCAAACACAAGAGACAGATAGGCTTACAACCTTATCAATAATTGATCGACTAGGTATAGTTAGACATAACATTTCTTAAGAAACCTTGTTTTAAATGAAATATTCTGAAAAGCAACAACTTGTAAGTTCAAAAGCGAAAAATGTCAATTTAGGTAGATGAATCTAACCCACAGAAAAGGCTTTCATTTTCCATTAACTGCATTTCTAATCAGCTGAATCACATCAGACATTATGTTAGTATGCAATTAAATGGCATTCAAATAAACATGTAAACAATTATTTTGAAGATGATTTAATGAATTATTGTTATTAATTCGGATGTGTTATAATAGGTTCTACAAATATGTCACACATAGTCCCTGTATCAAGCCTATATGAATTAGAGACTTCAGTTGCCATTGGGTTAATATTGTAATCTAAGGTAGATTGTAAAGAAGCAGGATTCTAATATTCTCTACACAATATAGCTGTTGCCAATACAAACTGTTTCTATGTTTCTTGGAATCTAGTCTAGTTGACAATGAGATTCAAGGAGATAAAAGGAGATAGGTAAAGCTGACAATGCATACAACATTACTGAGGGTTAGTGAGAAGAGTCCCAGATCTCTCCAGACTTGATAAAAGAGTCTTGAAAGCATACCTGACATCTAAACTGATTTTTGTCCATGTTGGTTACACACCCAACCCCAGACATGTAGAGTAGTGTGATGTAGAACCATTGAATAATGTATGAGAGAGAGAGAGAGAGAGAGAGTGTTTGGTTGTTGGGTCTGAATAATGTCAAACAAAGCTCACATTACATGCATATATAATCCTTACATACTTGTCATCCCTGGTTTCTCTCCTATCCTTCCAACTAAAGAAATATATTCAAAACTTATTTTTAAGGACAAATATCACGCTGCGTTATACAAGCACAGAACAGAAAATATGCAACTTTTCAAAAATATATGAATTCCTTTCCATCTAGATTCAAAAGGAATCTTTGATACATTTGGGACTGCCACACATGAGTGATGTTTTCCTACATGTTAAGGACATGTATCTCCTGTATGTCCATACCCCCTATCCCATGGCCTACTCTAGAGCACATCAGCCTTAGCTACAGAGCAGAGCAGAGCAGAGCGAGTCAGGCAGCCTCGATGGATTCTTAAGGTCTCCGGAGGATAGACAATCGATCACCGGAAGGCGTAGGGAGAGAATTGAGGCTCTAAGTGCTTGTATCAACTCAGTCACAACCAGGCAAGGCTTACCCTTTCACCTGCTTAAGAGAAGGGCGGGCTGAGAAGGGCTGGGATTGGCTTAAAGCACAGCAACATGGAATATACTTCACCAACAACAACTAAATATATGCCCCTCCTTCTTTTGCATCTCTCGTCCTTCTTATATCTATGTTCTCTGACTTTTATTTTCATTTTTGGTTAAACTCTTGTTCTTTCATATATTTTCCTTTCTTCTACCTCTGATTTTGTTTAAAACTCAACGCCCTTGTCCTTTTATCCCGACCTTCTCTGGCCTCTGTACTTCTTCCAGTGTTTTTGGCAATGGAAATATGGTTGACCGCATGAAGCTGAAAAAAGCTAAATACATATTTAACCTGAATTGGTGTGCATTCCGCCTGAAGGCTGATGGGTTGATGTACTTGATCGAGACTCTCGTACTAAATACTCATCTTATATCTGGGTCATGTTCAAATATATTTATTCCTCAATAGGATTCCGAATCAATGCCTTTTGAAGATGATTTCAAACTATTGGCAGTGCCATGCTTTTCTCTCTTCCTTCCTCCTCTCTCAAAAACTATAGGAAACATGTCTCCTCCCACTAGATCATCCCCTTCTCTCTCTCTCTCTCTCCCTTCCTTCCTTCCCCCTCTCCCCTTTCTCTGTCTGTCAGTCTCTCCCTATCTCTCTCACACTTTCTAAAATTACTAAGCTATTTATCTACTACGGAACAATAAGTCTTCATTAAAAGAAATTGTGTTTACTATCAAAAACTTGACTCCATATCTTGTGTAAAATATTCCAGCCTGACATTGCTACAATATAAATGTATCTATTTCAATTTTACACATATATCTTTTGTTAATCTTACTATCTTACCAATTGTTAGAACTACATCACATATCCTATTGATTGCTGCGCTTTGTGATTATAAGTAAACTTACCAGGCCTTGCCATTACATTCAAAATATGTAAACATCTTACCTGCAAAGATAAAATAGAAGAAAGAAAAGAAAAAATATTAATAATCAAACTGGTAATCAACTTCACTGCATATATTGGATGGTTGGATACTTCACTAAAAAAATGTTGATACTAAAACAGATTAACTAAATGAGTCAGATGTAAAGAGATAGCAAAAACACATTAACATTAAATAATATTTGTTACACATGTATTGAAATTTGTTTAAGAATGAAATAATGTATGATTTATTCATGAAGTGGTAGATGTCAACATGAATACATTAAGATTGAAATCATGAATGAAACAGAATGAGTTAAGTTTTGTCATTTGAAGTAATTACATGTCCTATTTATTTTTAATCTCTTTAATATCTGCCTCAGCCATTCTTTTATGAAACTCTTATGTGTATGTGCTTCTCTCTCTCTCTCTCTCTCTCTCTCTCTCTCTCTCTCTCTGCATGTCTCTCTCTCTCTCTCAGCTTTATTTGCTTCATATTTGGAGACAAGTTGGAAATAAAGCTTGTTCAAATATTTATTCTATCCATCACTTTTCCTTCCTTATATCCTTTCTTCCTCTTGCGCTTAGAAACATTGTATGAAGCGCATTATAAATGTAATGTATTAATTATTTATTATCTGTGTTTTAATTTTTAGCATATTTCTGTTTCCCTTGTGGACGTATTTCCTTGATAGAAATAACAGGACAAAAGGGAATAAAGAATTGATCAAGCATACATTATATAAATATACAATGACACTCGAGGATCTAGCTAAAACTATTCACATCGAAGGAACATCAAATAGTATACTATTGATGTTCCTGAGTGCGAATAGTTTTAGCTTGTTCCGAGAATGGGTCATTGTATAATTGTTTTATATCCCTTCCATGTGTATCATTCCTTGAACACTTCTGTAATAACACGTACCGTTCTCACATTCACATCACATCCAAAAAAAGAAATAAAAGAAAATTGCATGGCTCAGATGCAGTTATTGCACAAAGTGCAAGGCGTAAATTGCAATGCTTGAGCGCCGTGACACCGCTGGAGTTGCCCGTGTGGAGGCATTTGAAATCCTGTACGCTCGCTGAATTTTGCCAGTTTAGGGGGGGGGGGGGGTGGGAAAACACCTAGTTCACTTTTTCCCAGGAAAATTTTCCCAGGAAAATTTGAACTATTTGTGAAGTCAGTAATAAAAAATGAGCTATTTGGCAGGAAACGTCTTTTCTAGTAAAACTTTTCTTGTTGTGTACACTCCCAATGCAACAATCTTACGATAAGGGATATAATACAAATTGTGCACCAATGAAACAAACCTCAAGATTGTTCCAAAACGCAGTGCCACATTCAAGCTTTAGTTTCTTCTATAGGGCCAAATTTAACAAATTGTAAAAGATATTGAAACATATATAGTTGGCTGTCATATAAGCCATTTGTATAACTTTTAGTTGAAACAGTGAGAATTTCAACAAACAGGATCTTAAAGTTGTGTAGATCCCAACCTAGACAGGATTCGACTATATTTCTTCCTCATTGTCAACTTAGCAATGTAAACACACCGAGCCATAGGTGTACACAACTGCCCTCAAGGGAAGCAGCCAACGAGCCGATAAATGCTCATCATATTGATGTCCATATGATAGGCATATACTGCGGAATACGAGATGGATGATACGAGGGGTAGCACACCCCAAGACAGCGCGCTGAGCGGAAGAGAGCAGTATGATGCTGTATCAGGTGGTATGAGGATAGCATAGAAGGTGGAGTGATTGACAGCATCAATGGGGGGTATTTTGACGCGAATGCAAACCAGATATGTGTGTTGCTTTTCAGCAAGGTGTCAACCTTTTGTCAACCTTTTAGATATGTGTGCCTGGAGCATCCAAAAGGCTTGGCAGAGCAGAGCTGCAAAGGGTAAGACCTTCAGGCTACACAGGGAAGTGGCAGTAAACTAGGTTGATATGCATGCATTGTTATGGGCAGTGTGAACTGCTTTGTTGGTCAACTAGACAAGGACTTGTACTTGAAGCAGTATCTGATGCATGACCCCTTTGCCACTGCAAGGACGACCGGTGCCTGAAGAGAATACACAGTGCAGTACAAGTGATATGCATGAATTACCCAAGGCCCTATGACGTCTCTAAAACAATCGTGCTTTGGGGTCATTACAAACATGAAGAAGGAACCTATAGGAAAGGGAATGATAGACATAGGAAACTGTGCTGGTGGGAATGGGGTCATTACAAACATGAAGAAGGAACCTATAGGAAAGGGAATGATAGACATAGGATACTGCGCTAGTGGGAATGGGGTCATTACAAACATGAAGAAGGAACCTATAGGAAAGGGAATGATAGACATAGGAAACTGTGCTGGTGGGGTGAAAATGACGTTTACTTAATATTTTAAAGATTTCAAAATTAAAATATGATTCCTTGAAAAATACATGCATTTCAAAATGAAGATTTAGGGCCCTTTTCATGCCTCATTAATAAATCAATAATCTAGTAAATGAAGGGAATCTGTTTTTTAACGTTGCATTCTCTCAATATGATGTATTTTTTCCTTTCCTTTAAACCCAAAATTCTAATGTAGCATTTCCAAACATTAAAACGGACCACCCACAAATTTTATCCAGTTCATCATTTTTTTAATATCTGTTTGCTTGAAATCGAACAAAATTTAGTTTTCTTATCTTTCTTTAACATGACACATCTTATTGCTTCAGGAAGGCAATTAAGGCGTAATACAATCAGCTTACTGACAACTAATCAATCAATTATTGAATGCAACTCTTTATCCTAATATGCTAGTCTGTAAACTGGACACTAAATATTGATTTAAAACTTGTTTTTAAGGAACTTTTCATATGGATAAGATGACAGTCTACACTTAATCAAAATGTCAAACTTTATTAGTATATCCTGTCAAAATCTGGCAAAAGATGACCATGTTTGCTAGTGAGTGGGTGATTTGAAGTATTTAATGAACTGGATGAGGTTTGTGGTGGAGATAATTTTTTCATTTTTTTATTTAAAATAATATTTAAAAAAAGTAAAGACACAGCCTACAACATTTAGAAACAGCCGTAAGCTTAATTAAAAACAAATAAAAAGCCATGTTTGTACTCGATGTATCTTCTAGGACTTGACATTTGGGAAAAACAAATTCTGGAATAATAAACAAAACTAGAGAGCGAAGATCAAAGTTCTAGAAAGTAAATTTCTTGAAAACATACTTTATCAGATATAAGTCTGTGGACAAAGTCTGGGAGAAAACCTTGAGAGAAAGCATAGCATAAAGATAGAATTAAAATGAATGCCTTCATAACATAATTAAAAATGTTCCTATCTGAAAAACAGTTTTGATTAAATCTACATGAGACATCTGAACACCCACTACAGCAGGGACAATACAAATATATTCAAGCAAAAAAATGCATCTCGGAAAATAAACGAGTTGGGAAGTTTGTAGAAGAGATGCAAGTCTAATAAATCAAACATTCTACAAAGTTTAGCATGTAAGGAGGTCAGCCGATCGACCGACCAGGCCACTGGAGAAAAGCAGCCTAAAAGTAGTTACATGAGGTTAATTTGATATCAAGAACTGTGTAGATAAGATAAAATAACAACCAACTTCACTTTCTCTCTTGAAGATAAGAACAAGTCACTTTCTTGTAATCCAAATAGCCCCATATAAAGCTATTCCACTCAGAAAATAGCTAAGAGGGCTGTGCAGAACGGGAGATAAAACAAAATGTTTCTGTCCCCAAAAGAGTTGTTCAATGACAACTATCGCCATGGCATCAAGGGTAGGATGAAAAGAGGTAGATAATTCAAAAAACAATAAAGTTACATCATGGCTCTTAGCTGTTGATATAAATCGACTGACGTCCCATCCCCCTTCCTCGTGTCTGGCCCAGCTGTCGCCATGGCACACGTCGTCGTTAGCAACCCGACCTCTCAATATACCATCGATAAGTGTAGAGGGTATGAATGTTGAACGCCACTGCAAGAGCTGGATCGACAAGTGTAACCTTCAACCTAGATTCATACAGGTCTGATGGTTTTATCTCTAAATGTGACTTTATTATGCTTTCAATGGTTAATTTACAGAATGTGTAAAATAATATCAACAAACTAAAAATTCAGGGGTAAGATAGCTAAGCTAGATTTGAGATCTATACGATATGATAACACAATTACATTCAGAATTTCAATTAAATTAGATTTTTCTTTTACTTTCTTTTTCTTTTTTATATGGATCAATTGAAAGTATTTATTTGAAATTAAAAAATAAATTATAAAATGACATTTCGTCAAAAAGATGTGGGAAAAGGTTGATGAGTACAACACATATTCTGTATTTGGCTAATTAGTATCCTTACATATCATCCCGGAGTACCGCTTCAGGTTTGAACTCAATTCATCTTGCATTAAAAATCTTTTCTTCAAGAGAGATTCCTCTGTGATGTTCTTTACTTCACTCACAAGCAAATAGCAAAAGTAAGAGTAAAAAAATTTGTTTGTCTTGCCAATGGTTCGTAGGCAATGAAAAACCGTAAAATGATCAGACATGAAGGATTGTCAACCAACAATCGTTAATTACTTTTGAACGCAACTCAATATAAGGCAAGTAATAAGGTAGATTTTAGAAATGAGTATCAGATAAATTGAATACTTTGACTGGAATTTGTTATTTTGCGTGTGTGAGTGGGAGGGAGGATGAGGGAAGGTTGGCAGATTTGTTGTTTTTCAAGAGAGGACATGTAACAAATCTGAGAGAGGTGTATAATTCTTCTCAAGCTGTAACTTGAAATGGCAACGTACAAGCCCAGGGCCCCGATTCTATGTAAGAAAGACAAAAGGAGAAAACACAACATAGAAACAGATAGGTGCACCGTTCTTGAGCATCAGACTAGCCAAATTCTGACCCGCGTTGCGTATCAATTTTGTTCGTTTATAGGAACTCCTGGGGCTACTTTAGAAACATGAGGACTGCTGGAAGTAAACAGGTGAAG